CTTAAATATTAATTATTAACCAATACATATTTTTTTATCGTAAACACAACGTATTTTTCATTGTACTACGCATAGTACAAGGTGACATAAGGGATATTTATGTTGTACTACTACTACTACTACTACTACTACTACTACTACTACTACTACTACTACTACTACAATTTGATTCAAAGAAAAACCTCAGCTACTTACTTTTTTTAATTTTTTTGCAAGTATATACTTTTAAAAATGGAAGAGACCTGATTAATCAGAATAGCGAGGGACAAATCACCAAGAGGTAGAAGAAGTATCGGGCGACCACGCAAAAGATAGAGTGATAACCTCCAATAGAGGCATTAATCGACATTGAACAAGCATTTTGCTTATAAAAAAGAAGAAGAAGAAAAAGAAGAAGAAGAAAAATGAGTAAATATAACAAAAATAAGCCATTGAGTGGAAAAGAACTGTATGAGTTGATAGAGGCTCGACTTTCTGATGTGGAAGAGTTCTGTGATGAAGAAACTGATGAGATATTGACGTTCGAAGATCTCCAGAGAGACGACGGAATTATCGGTAAGATCATCAACTAGTTATTTTTGCTTATCTGATAAATCAATTTTATGCAATGATAATGATACCAATAATCAAGTAAATTATTTGGAGGCAGAATTTTCTAATAGGGTCACTTCGCAAAGCTGAGCATCCCATTGTTCTCGTACGCTCGCATTTGCTGAGCAATCAGCGTACGGGAAAGATTTCCAAACACGAAAAAAATTGCTCATTGGTTGGAATAAAAATTATTTCAAGGTTTTTCGAGGATTCCTTCCGTAAGTCAAGGAATCTCTTAAATTGTCATTTTATTGTTGCATCTCGTATCTATTTATGTGTACACACGTTTTATTATCTTTTGTATTTTTGGCGTGCAGATAACGTTCATTGTGGAACTTCTACTACATAGATTAGGCACGAGAGACGTTTGCACTGATTTTTATCGAACTGCATTTTCTATCACATTTCATACATATATACATTATCTGTACAATTGTAGCTGATGCTTATTGTGATATTATACACAAGTATTCAAACACTACAAGCCACAAATTGCTGGATTTGTGACAGTTTTTGATCAAAAACATACACGATTCCACATAACTCGACCAATATCGTTAGTAGACAAACGAATTGTATCACGAAGAATGGTGGACAATCGTGGAACATCCAGGTCTAATTCCACGGACCGAAAGAAGCCCGTAGAGTAGGAGACGAGCCAATCAGCCACCCTCCACGACTCTCGGCAACACCATGTTGTCAACAACGATGATACTACCAAATTAGGGCGTAAATAGTTAATGGACAAGTTTTGAAGACACATGATTTAACGGAAAAAAGCAAAATAACATTGCGAGAAGATGTAAAATACATAACGCTCACTACTATACAATGGGCACAAAAAACAAGCAAATCTTACATACCTAAAATCACCAATAGATTATTTTTATAAATATTTTGATGACACCTTATTTGATACTATGGTTATACACAAATTTTTATCACCAGAAAAATAATACACGCTTTGAGAATACAAATATCAACGAAATAAATCGATGTGTGGGCATTCATATTATTATGGGAAACCTAAGTAATCCTCGTATGAGACTTTATAGGGACAGCAAACTTTGTGCAAATGTCGTTAAAAATAATATGGCGTACAACAGATTTTCAAAATTACGAACCCATCTACATTTTACTGATGCCAATGCCAATTATCGCTTGAAACAAAATTATGTATTGACAAATAAAGAATTCCGTTTAAGGGACAGTTAAGCCTTAAACAATATATAAAAGGCAAGTCGTGTCCATGGGGTGTAAAGCTGTATGCCTTTTGTGAAAGTTCAGGTTTACTCGTCGACTTCGTTTTATACCAAGGTCCTACTACAGAACTAAATTCCCTTAATCAACAAGTTTTTGGTCAAAGTGCAGCTGTCCTAATTAAAATTACTAAAAGAATAAAAAATCCAAACCATCAGCTTTATTTCGATAATTATTTTTTTAATTACCAACTATTGAAGTGGCTTTAAAACAGGCGTATTTATGCCTCCTGTACTGCCAGAGCAGAACGTTTTGCAGAACCTCCACTTTTACCAGATAAGCTAATAACTAAAAAAGAACGAGGATTTTCACAAGAAATTATTAGTAATGATGGACAAGTCATAATGACTAGATGGTTAGATAACAAATGTGTAACCACGGCCTCAAATTTTCAGTCAAAAGGAGAAGAAGATACTTGCAAGAGATAGAGCAAAACAAAAAAACAGTATTTTATGGTGCCTCGACCAGAAGTTATAAAACATTACAATGCCAGTATGGGAGGCGTTGACAAATTAGATTTTTTGATTATATATAGAACTTTCATAAAGTCTAAGAATATTTACACATGCTCTTGATTTAACGCATGGCTGAAATATCGACAAGAAGCAAAGTTCCTCAATATAGCCCAAAAAGATACTTTTAACCTATTGCATTTTCGTTTAAATATTGCAGAAGCACTCATATATTGTGGACAAATGGGTAAGAAGGTTGGAAGACCATCTTTAACTGATAATTCACCCATTTTATGTCCTTCACCTAGCAAAAAATGGTGTCAAGAATATGGACCTATCAGAGAAGTTCGATTAGATGGTATAGGACACTTTCCTGACTTTGACGATAAACCTACACATTCCCAAACCAGGTGTAAATTGCCAAAATGTGCTGGAAAAATAATTTATAGAATAATATCTTTGTGACTTCGACTCTCACCTCTCACAAACTGGGTTTTCCATTGTTTGGCACTACCACGTCATCTGGCAATATCCAAGCATTTCACATCTTTCCTATATACAATCTTTTCTGGGAGAGCTCCATATGATTGACTTGACGTTTACGTCGCCAGCAAGTATAAAGTCCCGATGTGTTTGGGACGTCATTATAATATTCCTAACCTGTTTACGGGACACTGTCTCGGGACAATAAGTAGTTCTGCTTTATTCTCGAGGACTTTTGCTATCAGATGGTGCGCCATTTTGGCCCTCTTGATGTTAACTTGGGATATATTTAGTCTTTATGTCCCTTATGCAGCCATTTCCAAGTCGCACACTTTCTTAGTTTTTTAAGGTCTTTGGAAATAGGGTGGTGGGGCAAAGATTTAGATTCGTATCTCGTGTCACCGTAGTTAAAACGCAGTTAAGTCCCTTACAGTTATCCTGGGTGTGATCAAAGGACCAATACCTGGACATATAGGCACCCTCAAACGTTTTTCTTATTTGCAGCGTACCATGCCTACGCACAGGTACTCGCTCTGGAGAAGAATATCTGCGGCTATCTAGACATGATCACTAAAACGGCCTGCGTATCGGCTCTTAAAAGTCTCATTTCTAAAAACTTTCAGGAATTATCCCATAAACAAAGCTGCACCGTAATAGCTTTTCTTAATTGGTCTTCTTTTATATCTAGCTTGATTCCTTTGACATGGATAGTCACCAGCCTCTCTACACCCAGCTGCAAGGCGGCCATACTCTTATTTTTGTCCGTTAAAGCACCCTTAATTTGTTTCACAGCACCCTGGTCTTTATTTATAGCGATAAGCAGTTTTCTATCCTTTGTACTTCTAAGTATACAGATGGGGTGTCTGGCCTCCGCCGCTTTCACAGCAGTCTTAACTGTAACGAGCAGATCTTTATATCCTGTGACCTTTCTGGACACAATCATGCCGTATGTAGTCCGACCAATAGATATAGTATTGGTTTAAATGTACACTATTGTATTTGTATATCAGAAAATGCATTCACACATCTTTCTCAGATCTGGGACCGAAAGGAAGCTCACATGATGAAGTGCAAATTTGCCATCATTACCTATCATATCCTTTATTTGGACCAGCTTGTCCTAGAGTGTTTGTCCGTCGGCAGCGACTTTTACTTTAATTACTTTAACCAAGTCCACTAAGGCCTTACACCGGAAGAAAGTCCTACTTTCGAGGATAACAAAATCCTCGTCCAGATGCTCTAATTCTGGGTACCTCTCAACAGTGAGGGTATCTGGAGCATTGAAAGTGTTTTCGACTACAACTGTGGATCTTTTGAAAAGGCTATCGGGCCATTCCCAGTCTTTATATTTATTTCACGTTTCGGAATAGTCAGTGTGATCTATTGATTTAAACACATCTCCCCGGTCAATGCCCACGACCAGTCTGCGTCAAAATCTCAGCGGTAACGGGTTTACTTGCAGTTATCTTTCCAGGCAGGCTTGGATCTATCTGTATTATTTTATTAGCCAATTGACACGTCGTGTCAACCGTGCATGTTTCTGTTAAGCATTCTTTCTGTCGCTTCGAATCTGTAATTTTCTAACCACTTTCTAATGGACTCCCTCTTTTAAAGGTTGCTGCAGGGCACATCTTTTATTTTATTGGTAGTACAAGGTACCTCAACAATGAATTTGAAGAGTTCTTCGGTTAATGTCTCCTGCATCTCTATGCTTTCGCTTAGGGATAGGTATTCCGAACACTTCTTTTTTTGTCTAAGTTCGGCAAGCTAAGTTTCCACTTAGCCCCTGAAGTGTTAGGTACCTATTTTGAGGCTGTCAGAAAAAGAGTTCATCCTCACCTTACCGCCTCTTTCCCTATCGAATCTTTACCGGTTACAGAACAAATACACCTTATTACATTTTAAACCAAATACATGACGAATACTTAAAAAATTTATATGCAAATGCTGGTCACAGCAATAAACCCTATGAGTGTGTTTAATTATTCACCAATGCATGTTCGAAAACTAAAGACAATGGCCAGAACGTTAGCTTAACAGAGTAGAGGTGAAACGGCACTAACAAAACATACGAAGATATAATCTTTATAAATTTTATAAGTTTATCAGTAATAAAAACCAGATTTTTATTAAAACGATCATATTATTATTGGACATCTGGCGTTATTTTCCTTTCCATGTCTTAGTTATTCAGCAGTAAATTAAAAACATCTTGCTAATAATTAATTTTAATTTGTTAAAATATTCAACAATCCATCTCACATTTTCTGTTTGATAAAAACAACAAATTAAAAAAATATCGATTATCACCGGTTGATCTTACACAACTAAGATCAATCTTCCTCTGGTGGTCCAGAGATATCATTATACAATTTCTTGTTACACCATAGTCTAATAGATATATAATAGACAATTTCAGCTGCAGTTAAAAGAGAAAAACCAGTAAAAAGTCCTAAAAGTCCTCCAAAGTTTGAAATAAAGTCGAACATTCCATATAGTTCATTTTTCTCGGATGGCAGGAACTGGTCTGAGCTGAAGAAGATCTTCAACGAGGAATAGTGCCTAAAAACACAAGGTAAATTTTATAAAACAATACAAACATGCGTATTTAATAGCTATCCTAGTAATTATCTGATCTCATAAACTTGAACAAACCATATTTTATTAAAACTTGTTATTGAAAATAATAATTAAATAAAGTCTATTTTATGAATATACGACTGTTTTCGTATATTGTTTACATAAAAAACTTTATTTTTATTAAAATTAAACAGAGTTAAAAAAAACAGATAATTAAATAATTAACTCATTTAGAAATCAGTAAAACTAAAACACTATAAAATTATTGAATGCAAATTAAAACGAAACATTAAAATTTCAAAAAATTACTTATTACCTAGCTTCTTAACCTCTTGAGACCCAGAGTAGTATAGTTTTAAATATTTTCGAACTATTTTGGATTTTTGTCCTTTTATATGATTGCTACTTACAGTAAAAAATTACAAAAAAATGCAATGGAAAATCTTACTGTTCATAATGTCGTATATATTATAAGTAATATTGGGTATATCCGTTACCAAAGTAAACTCAAACATAAGAAAGAAAAACTAAAAATTTTTTTTTATTAAGTTTAATGCGTCGACAACTAATGGTCATTGGCATGGTATAGTGAATTTCTACAGTCAGGTACCTAGTGTAGAGTGTAATGTGTGTAGAGTAATTGTCTTGATACTTAGCAAAGTCGACGTCATTGTCTTTGCTAAGAGACGCTAATTGTATCCGAACGTCTGCGCTCCGGTGAGTACCGATCGCACAAGAATATAAATTATTTTCATTTATTAATTTTTAATAAACGAAAATTTCTCCACCCAGATGAGATTCGAACTCACGACCTTTAGGTTCAAAGGTAGGAGCTCTTACCACTGAGCCACAGAGGGGGTCTGAAACTAAAATTAAATACTCATACTTAAGCAATCTTTTATTATTTATTATTTTTATACACAGAAGAAAGTATTAAGTCAGTCTTTGCTATGAAACTGTAAAAAACAATTTCGTTTCCATGTACTACATAAAAATATCCTACATTTTATACAAAATGCAGTTGGTCTATTTTTACAATTGAACTTTCTGTATCCATTTTATTTATCAGCATAGTCCACTAAATGTTCAACTTTATAAAGACGTTTAACTTCGACATGTGTGGGTGAATTTTGACTCTTCGTTTTTAATGTTTTGGTTTCAGGTCTTCGTAGTAGCCACAGGTCTCTGAAGACTGAGTGTTATCCAAAATAATTTTGTTCTCCCATTTCTAACTTTAATAATCTCAGTAAGGAATGTTTTAAGCTAGTAGATGATTTTCCTTTTGTACTAATTTGTATTAATATTAAGAATTGCAAACTAGTCTGTGGATGAAACGAATTGTCCACTTTTTTGTACGTGCTCGTACAGCCTGCCAACAAGGTCAACTCCATCCATGAACTGATTATAGTGCTTAATCACCTCAGGTCTATTAACCATTTCGTATTCCTTTTTACTTTTTGATCATCTTTTGTATTGATTCAGGTTGTTAGCAGCAGGGTCTGTTGACAGAAACGTAAGAGGTTTGTGCTCTAACCAGCAAGTTATGACAATGTTTTTATCGAACATTCGTTTCAAAAAAGTCTCTTGTTTACAATCGTGCTAGTTGCATGAAAATCTCTTTCTAGTAATACATCAGTAAGTTATATTGTCGGAAAATAGCAATCAAAGTGAATAGGATGACCAGGAATACGACATTCATACACAATATACACTATTATATTGGGTGTTGAATTACCCAATATACTGTCACATCGCATACTAACCCATTGAAATTGGCAAGTACAAAAATCTTAATACCAACGGAATTTTATTTTTTTGGGCTCATCAGATCTTATTTAAGCTTGACAAGCATTTAATATATTGTTGTAAAAAGATAAAACTTTCCAAATTTTGTTTACTTTTTGTTGAGAATCGATTTCTTCATCAGAAACAACTTTTAGAGATGTTGTAGTCATAAAACAATTGCGTTCGTCTCATAGCATTTTTGACAATTGGGACATCATATTTTCTCGACCAATATATTATAACTTTTTGGGTGCTCTATAGCATTCACAACAAATAGGTCACCAATAAATACTTTTAACACTTTAGTTTTCAATTTCAGGTCTGTTCTCTTACTTTCAAGGTGTGTTCTATTTGTTGCTACGATCATGGTTTCTATCATCATTTAATTGCTTAAAAAAATTTTTGGGAATCTTTAACTGACAATCCACATCTTTATACCTAGACTGGCAAAGGGCTCTTTCTAGGGAAGTGAAATTACCGGTCCCAGCTATCAGTTAACGTTTTTACTGGAGTACCATTACGGCGACCTACTCTACGTTTACTCTTGTTTTGGCACAACAACTACAACCTATTCTGATAGATTTGCCAAAGAATTTTTGTAGTCAGAATTGGCGTTTTTTAATTTTGGTGGCACAAACAAGGGGTCTTCTTCATCGGAAACGCATAAATCCGTTTCGCAAAGAAACTTTTCCAGTTCTCGTTCAGTTGGTATTGTAACAAATTAAAAATTTGTAACTTTGTCCAAAGTCGAACAAAATTAAAATAAATTAAATTAAATGAACCATAAAGGTTGAGGAACTACGTAATATTTATATCAGATAAAATTAGTACCTGCACATTCAAAATATGTCCTCATGAATTTACAAAATAAAGATCGGGTAACAAAAACTGATCATCTAGATACACTATAATTAAAAACTATTTATAAAAAGTATATGATAACAATAATATTTGCTTCATTTGTTATACACTGTTTTAACTTAGAATGTTAAAATATTTCACAGTTACTTATAAAGGTCCCCAATACTAAGAAAAGCAATTTTCTTGTAAGTAATTTATTTGTAAGTATTTTCATGTTGTATATATACGAGACTAGGCCCCAGAAGGTTAAAGTAGTAGATATATTTTACTGGACTGGTTGTGTGCGGTTAGACGTGCAAAGTTACTCTAAGTGCACCCCATTTTTGACTTTCTTTCCTTTTTTGGCCTTAAAAAATTTTACTTATTAGGTAAAGTTTATTTGATTTGTTGGTTCAGGCTTTATACCTTCAACGTCATACTCTAGGTTGGGATTTCTAATCGGACTTCGGACTCAATCAACTTGTTTAGTTGTTGTAAATCTGTAATATAAATACCGGTTTAAGACGTCTTACGTCTTTAGATTTTCGATCTTCAGTTAACTCTATCAGCCATCTTCTTTTATACCTCGGTCTCTTAAATCTTCGTCTACTTAGCTTCTTTAACTTGGCCGGAGTCTTCTGCATTTTCTTATTCCATCTGGTTTTCATTCTATAATTTATTTGGGAAATAGAGTATAGGGCATTCTTCACACATGGGCCTTAACGCTTTTTCTTCTACGGACATATGTTTTTGCTGTAAGTAGATAGTGATCGCTGTTATATGTCGGACCTCTCCTTGTACGGACATATGTTTCTGCTCTAAGTAGATAGTGATCGCTGTTACATGTCAGACCTCTAAGGCATTCTATAACTTAAAATTGAGATGTTGAGATGTTGAGTTGAGATAAGACTTAAAATGTTTTTGTTATTATGTAATCAATGATTGCTTTTTGTACTGTATAATCTTCTACGTATACATTTATGTACATATATTTATTGTACATTTATGTGTTGCTTTATGTTGGAAGTGTGACTTGAAAACGTTTAACTTGCTTTGGGTCAATATTGATATGTCTGTCTCAGTTGTTACCGGTTGCCTCTTTAACACAACCTATACTTCATAAATTAGTACTTCATAACTTTTTGGGAACATCTAAAAAAAATGATCCTACTCTACTGTTCCATATTTTTTGAGCCTTGCGGTTTTTTCTTGGTTTCCGTTATTCTTATTAGATTCATTTTTTGTTTTTTAACTTCGGCGTTACTCTCACTTATCTTTTTGAATACCCTGTACGTTTTGTCCTCCTCTTAATGGCAACCAGTATGCATACTATGAAGGAAAATTAAAAAACAGCACTAGACGAAGTAGTTCAGAAAATCAGTTACTCCATTAATAATGAAGAGATAGTATAAACCGAGATTCTAGATATATAAGTCGTATTTACTAATAAACTACCAAATTTTGTTTATGATGCAGCAGAATGCTAGAGAATATGCTGGTCATAACAGACCTGCAAAGAGAGGAGATTTTGGCAAAATTAGCTAAAGAGTACTCACAGGGGGGATTGCTTTCTCCCCAATTGTAATCACTCCTAGTAGATGGCTTGATTTCGCTTTTTGACAGAAAGGGGATAGAAGTACAGGCATATGCGGATGATCTAGTACTTATGGTAAGAGAAAAGTAAAGTTATGTTCTATCAAAGCATATTTCAAAGAAAATTAAATATCCTTACGAAATGGTGAGAGAAAGATAAAATCTGGAAATCCTAGTAAAACAGTAGTAGTCAATTGAGAAATCAAATAGACTACATTATGATAGTAAGGAGGTATCGTAATGCTGTTAAATGTACAAAGACGTACCCAGGTGCTGATATAGGCTCAGATCATATCCCGGTAGTTACTGTGATAGAGGCGAGACCAAAAAAGACTAGAAGACCACACAGAAAGGAACTATATTCAAATAAACTTAAAAACAAAATATACGACAAGAAACAGAAGAAGAAATAAATGAAAACCTCCGTTCAGTGCAGCAACAAATTAACGATACAAATAACTTTAACCAAAAATTACAGTACATAAATACAGCTGCACAAACAGCAGGAAAGAAACATCTTACAAAAACAACAACAAAGAATAAGGGGTGGATGCATCGAGCAAAAAGATAAAAGAGGGAATCTAATCGTTATGAAAAGGAGACCAAAAAAGTGGCCTCTGATGGCGGACATATCCGGAAATGCAAAGGCGCTAAATTTAAATTTTCCAACACTTGTTAACAATACCTGTAAAATATTTTTCAGACAAGAAAGCTTTAATTAAATATTAACGATAATAGTCTAAAAAGTGACATAATTGGTAAAA